GTGACGGGGTGGGCCCGCAACCTCCCCATCGACCCTGTCTTGAGTGTGACAGGAGGGGGTGCCCCAACCCCCCAATAGGCCCTACCCTGAGCGTGACTGAGGGTGGCATCGCAACATCCCGATCCACCCTGCTGTGCATGAGAGGGGGCGGTGCCCCAACTCCCCAATCGGCCCTGCTCTGAGCCCGACCAGGGGCTGCAACCTAGGGATTAGGCCTGCCCTCTGCCACCCGGGAGCAGGCCTAAGCCAGCAGGTCGTTATCTCCCGAGGGGTCTCAGACTTCGAGAGGGCACAGGCTGTGCTGAGGGAACCCCCCTCCCCCCCAAGAGCATAAATTTTTGTGCACCGGTCCTCTAGTCTTATGTAATAAAAACTTAATATGCTAAGTATCCAGTCGATTAGTCAGCCGTTCAACTAATCAAAGTGTAATATGCTAATGATATGCTAAGGCTGCTCAACCGCTCGCTATGACGTGCACTGACCATCAGGGGCAGATGCTCCGACTAGTAGGTTAGCTTGGTGCTGGGATCTGGCCAATCAGGACTGAGCGAGACAGTCCAGACATGCCCTGGAGCCCTCCCGTGGTCCCTCCCTGGCTAGCCAATCTCCCGCGTCCCTCTCCAGCCCCGATCGTGCACCAGTGGAGGTCCCTAGGCCTGGTCTGTGCCCTCTTGTAATCTGGGACCCCTCGGGGGATGTTGGAGAGCTGGTTTTGGCCCAATCCTGTAGGCCAGGCCAAGGGACTCCACTGGTGTATGAATTTGTGCACTGGGCCTCTAGTTGTATATAAGAGAGAAGAAATTTAAAAAGATCTAAAGGTTTTGAGGCTGAGAAGAGAAGATTTTGGTAATTTAAAATGAGTGGGCTTCTGTTTCATTAAAAAAAAAAAATCATTCACCCAAACAGATAGATAAGTAGGAGCTAGAATACAGTTTATCTCTGTTTGGCTTCAAGTTGCCATCTATGGTCCACTTCTGTTGTGCCAATGTGAAGCAGATAACTTTAGTAGTGAAAGTTACCATCACCAGGTTTACCTTCCTCCTTTTACAGGTTAGAAAGCTCAGACCCTCAGAGATTAAGTATCTTGTTAAGGTAAAATAAATAGTCGTATCTTCAGACTAGAATCTGGATCTTCATTTTTGTTATATGATATTTCAATCCAAAAAGCAAAACTGCCAGAACATTATCAAATGTTAGAAAATAAAGAGAAATTAATTTTTAAAAGGAAATTTATAGGTATGATTTCTTTGAACAAAAATTTGTCCCTGAAATGTGACTAGAATTAAATTAATCAGAACATAGTTAAATATAACCAGAGGAGCCCTAGCGGGTTTGGCTCAGTAGATAGAGCGTCAGCTTGTAGACTGGAGGGTCCCCGGTTCAATTCGGGTCAAGGGCACATGCCTGGATTGCAGGCTCGATCCCAGTAGGGGGCGTGCAGGAGGAAGCTGATCAATGATTCTCACTCATCATTGATGTTTCTATCTCTCTCTCTTTCTCCCTTTGTCTGTAAAATCAATAAAAGTTTATATATGAAAAATTTTTTAATAAAATTGAAATTAATCATATTTTTACTATATTTGATTGTCATATATTATGCTTCCTTATTGTAGACCTTTCTATAAATAAAATAGGGAAATTAAAAGAGCCCTGCCCAAATCCTTGGAAACAAGAACTAAAGAATCCCAACATCAGAAATTAAGCAGAAACTATTCAAATTGCCAAAGAGGAAGCATTTGAGAGTCATCCATGTGTCAAAAATTGTTAATTTATAAAATGAATATTTAAAAATTAATCTCCCAGAAGGACTTATGAAGTGAGCCTTATATTGATTCAGAAAATACTCAGTACACTGCAAAAGTAGGAAAAAAACTAGATGAGGCAAACTGGAAATCTGGTTTTCCCGCACTTGCCAATGTTGGTTGTGTATACACACAAACGTGGTAGCCCTTATTTTGTTGTATGGGTTCTCTCAAATAACGAATTATTATTGAGGGGTAGGGGAGCATGAAAGTGGGTGGGAGGAGAGAATGACCCATGGCGAGATGGGCTGCATCTTGTTCCAACTGTCTCACCAAGGAGATCATGGAGACTGTGGCATTTGCTCTCTGGGACTTGACTGAAGTCAGGCAGGAGTTGTTTTTAAACCTGGTCCTACAGCCAAGGTTATTAATTCACAACACACCTTAAGTCCTGTCACTTATAGAATCCTAATGCAGTATTCCATAGCTTACCCCTATCTTCATCTCCTTCTTCTTTATTCTTACCACCAGTCGATCACCATACCCCAGAGACACATGCTCAAAGCCAGGCTGCACTGGAGGCCTCTTCAGATCTATATCACCCAGGATAGTCCTCACTAGTCCTGCATTTTTCTTTCCCCTCTCACCTTCTTGAACATTTATTTACAATTCTGTCCCTGCATTATGGTCCTTACTATGAGGTGGATGGTATTCATGGTTGAAACCATAGCCCACCAAAGAACTGTTTTTCATTTTAACATGGGCCCTTTGGAGGTAGGTGACTTCCCTCAAATAGTGATGCTAATGTCAAAAATGTCATACTTCATGGACAGTAGTTTGGGGGAAGGTGGTTTATTATAACTCTCAAATCACTCCCAAGTAGTTGGTTATTACACCTTAATGTGGAATTGCTTTGGGTTTGGGTACGTAAAGAATTCTAAGTTGTCACTGAATCTACTAAAATTATGCTTACTTTGAAGACTTTTGATATTGATAAAATTCATACAATAGATAGGACTTCAACTCTCAAGCCAATGAAAAATAAGCAAAAACTCATTTACTTCTTTTTTATAATTATTTTTAAAAGCATGACAAATGCAAAGACAATCATACTTATTTTACAAAGACATACCTGGATGAAGTCAAATATGGTAAGAGGCAGAAGATCATCCAAAATTGCTATATCTTTGGAAAATCTATTAAGAATTCCACCTGTAATATAAAAGAAGATAAATTCAACAATCAGTAATCTTAAAAAATACATTAATATTTTATAAATCTGGCTCATAGCAGAAGCATTCAGAACTCAAATAAGACTTATCATGTAATCAAATACGGACGTAGAAAAATTTAGTGTTCTATAAAGGTTCTAAGTAACTGTGTTCAAGTTATTGTCTCCCACTTTTAAACCTTTATAAAATACAGATTGCTGTAAGGTTCAGGCCAAAATTAATGTCTTTAATAGAGCCCTTATCACAAATTATGACAGGAATGGGTACTCTTCCTATTACAATCTCACACTTGCCAGCCTGGCTATGTTCTCACCATTCACTTACACCTGTAGTCAGACCCTATCGCTCTCCTCTCTAATTTCCTCCAATTTTTGACTCACCTCTGCAGAACCCATGGCTTCTCCAGAACCTACACCACATGTATGTCCTCAGCCATGTTCTCCCTTTCTACCCTCTTCACTGGCAATCTAAGCTTTAGCCTATTTTCTAAGGTCCAGACTCATATATATAAGTCTGGTAATTCTTCCTTAAGTAGAAAAGAATTATATATGAGGCGTCTACTATGCATCAGACACAATGCAAGAAACTGAGGTGACACAGGTGAAAAAGCTGTGTTCCGTGTCCTTGAGGAATTCATTGTCTAGGCTTAGTGAAACTCATAACATAATGCTGTACAAACAAAGTGATAGTGAATCTTATCATTCACCACCATCCCCACCAACTGCAGGATAAAGTCCAAATTCTTAGTTTAATATTTAATGCCATCGATGATTTGGCCTTAAACCCCTTAGTTAATACAAGCCTTCTCTACTCAAACATTCTGTTTCAGCCAAATTGTTTGATTCTTTTTCAAACTTTATTTTTTAATTATAGTTGGCATAGAATATATGTTTCAGGTACAAAAGAGTGACTAGATATTTATATATCTTACAAAGTGATCACCCTAATAAGTCTAGTACCTACCTGGCATCATAGTTATTACAATATTATTGATTTTATTCTCTATGCTGTACTTTATTCTCTCGTGACTAATTTTATAACTAAATCCCTTTCTTGGTTTCTTCTTTTTTTAAAAAAAAATATATTTTTATTGATTTCAGAGAGGAAGGAGAGGGAGAGAGAGATAAAAAACATCAGTGATGAGAGAGAATCATTGACCGGCTGCCTCCTGCATGCCCCTGACTTGGGATCTGGCCCACAACCTGGGCATGTGTCCCTGACCAGAATCAAACCCAGGACCCTTCAGTACCCAGGCTGATGCTCTGTCCACTGGGCCAAACCGAGTAGGGCTTGGTTTATTCTTTAAATACACTCGACACTCTCTTACCTCCATGACTTTGCTATGAGATTCCCTCTGCCTGAAAACCATTTCCTCTCATCTTTGTCAAATCTATGTCTCCTCTCCCTCCTGGGCCAATTCAAATGCCTCTCTTACAAAGAAACATCAATGTTGGCACCAGCATCTCCTCTGGACACACTTAATACCTTTACTATATCTTGTCAGCACCTCTGGTATAATGACTACTAAAGGCCCAGTGCATGAAATTCGTGCACTCAGAGGAGTCCCTCAGCAAGGCCTGTGCCTTCTCACAGTCCGGGACCCCTCGGAGGATGTCCGCCTGTGGGCTTAATCCCACTCTGCAGAGAGCAGGCCTAAGCTGGCAGTTGGACATCCCACTTGCGGTCTGGGAGCCCTTGCTCCTTACTGCCCGTCTGCTTGCTGCTCCTTACCACTGTGCTTTCTGCTCCTTAGCACTGCCTCAGAGGCGGGAGAGGTTCCCGCCACTGCCCCTGCCCTTGCCAGCCATGAGCCGGGCTTCTGCCTGAGTGGTGCTCACCCTGTGGGAGTGCACTGATCTCTGGGGCAGCTCCTATGTTGAGTGTCTGCCCCTGGTGGTCAGTGGATGTCACAGCTAGGGGTCGCTCCACTTTTTGGTCAATTTACATATTAGCCTTTTATTATATAGGACACCCATGTCTTATATCATAGTCACTTGTATTAAATGTCTTATCTCTGTTTCTAGACTGTAAATTCCTAAAGGTCAGTGGGACCTCACCACATTTATTTTCCATTATGCATAACCCTCATCCAAAAGCCTTATCTGTAGGAATTATTTAATGCATATTTATTGATTTAAATATTATTGATAAAGGCAAGGAAGTATTGGTTGCTGCTGATTATAGCAGGGGTCCCGGACTGTGAGAAGGCACAGGCCTTTCAGTATGTAGGTAACAGACGGAAAAACTCAGTAACAGCAATGTTTTTTTAAAATAAAGCATCATCTTTTCATACAGAAATTCGGAGTATGGGTAGGGGTGGGTAAAGAACATCTAGATGTTAGGGTCTTCTTGCTATTTCAGTTCTCATGAGCATAAGGGGAAAATGCAAAAAACAGAGATTTTTCAGAATCATTCTACAAAGCAGATTAAACTTTGGAAAATAAGATGAATGAGAAAATGAAATGAATAGTAACCATTTAATTATGAAAGAGAAGATTCTTACTATTTCAGTTCTCATGAACATAAGGAAAAATGCAAAAACAGAGATGATTCAGAATCATTTTACTAGCAGATTAAAGTTTGGAAAATAAGATGAATGAGAAAATGAAAAGGATGGTAACCATTTAATTATGAAAGAGAGAAGGTTCTTAACCACTATGTGTAGTGTTTAAAGGAATGAGGAGCTCTGAAACATAAAGAGGGGAATGGAAAGTGCACCCCCTGTGGGAATAGGGCCCCTCAGAACGAACAACAGGGAACTGACCTTTATTGCATGTTGGCTATGTAACAGGCAAGAAGATTGCCTGTTTTATTCTCACAAGGATCCTCTGAGGCCCCCATTTTACAGTTGCAAAAGCAAGGCTCAGGCTCAGAAGAGTAACTTGCCTATAATCATCACTCTTATGGTGACAATCTAGGACTCAAACAATTCCCATGCTCTTTCCAGTACCTCTCATTGCCTGTTTATAGCTGTTGGCAACTTGGACAAATCCTCTATCTTCTCTGGGTCTCAGTTTTTCCATAAAAAATAAAATCGTTGAATCAAGGTAATCTAACATTCCTTTTAGGTATAAAATTTCTTAGCTCTAAAACATGGGAATGGAGGGATCATATCTCAACATAATAAAAGCCTTATATGACAACCTTAGAGCCAACATTATACTCAATGGGCAAAAACTAAAATCATTTCCCCTAAGAACGGGAATAAGACAAGGATGCCCATTCTCACCACTCCTGTTCGACATAGTACTGGAAGTGTTAGCCATAGTGATCAGACAAGAAGAAGAAATAAAAGGCATCCAAATTGGAAAAGAAGAAGTAAAACTGTCCTTATTTGCAGATGACATGATATTGTGCATAGAAAACCCTAAAGACTCCATAAAAAAACTATGAGGTTTAATAAATGAATTAGGCAATGTAGCAGGATGCAAAATCAACACCCAGAAATTGATGGCTTTTTATACACCATTAATGAACTCACAGAAAGAAAAACAACAAAAACAATCCCATTTACCATTGCACACACACACACACACACACACACACACACACACACATGGTAGCTAGGAATAAACTTAACAAAGGAGGTAAAGAACCTATA